GCCGGACGATCTGTAATATCACTTATAGATCTGTATTCTGGTTATGACCAGTTTCCTGTCTACCCATCAGACATACCTATGACGACAATGCATACTCCTCAGGGTCTGATCCATATGAATGTTGCACCACAAAGGTGGACGAATGCAGTCGGTGAGTCCTCATATTACACAACCATACATTGATGATTTGGTTGTAAAATGGTCAAAGGAGAAGAGTGTGGAGGAGGTAATGCCAAGGGTTAAACAATTTATATGAGATCATGTACAAGATCTATGCAAGGTTCTAGACTTATTAAAAAAGCATAATCTTACTGCAAGTGAATCGAAATCCAGGCACCGCATGCGTGGAGCAACGATCTTAGGGTTTGTGTGTGACAAAATGGGTCGTAGGTCAGACACTAAGAAGACGAACAAGATTCTCGAGTGACCAACGTCGTTCGAGACAATCACGAAAGTAAGGAGCTTCCTGGGAATGTGTGAGTTTTGAAGAGTGTTTATTAAGGGGTTTGCGACGAAGACGGAGCAACTACCAAAGATTGTGCGCCAAGGGAAAGATTGAGAATGGGGAAACAAGCAAGAGTTCATAATAAAAGTCTGAAGAAATAATTTGAAGATGGAGGTTTAGTGTTGGGCGTGTCTGACCATGCCGCTACACGAACAAGGCATTTTATTGTGGAGACTCATGCTGGACCAACTGCCCTAGGAGGTGTTTTGATTCAGAAGGATTGCAAAGGATAAAAACGACCCTTGAGATTTGAAAGTTGAATGCTTAACACAACTGAGAGAAATTACTCCCAGTTCAAGCACGAGGCATTGACAGTTCTTCATTGTTTGAGAATTTTTATAATATACCTCTTTGGCAGACAGTTTGTGCTAAGGGTTGACCTAACTGCTCTGGCTGGTTCTCTTAAGAACCACGCTCCTTCGGATCCAACAATTGTCAGATGGTTAACATACATCTTGATGTTTGATTTCGAAATACAGCGTATTTAAGAAAATAAAAATAGAGCCAATGGGTTAAGTCGCGTCGACTGAGATAAGGGCAATAAAGGAGTAGTTGATGACACTCCACCAGTCGACGAATTTTTGGATAAAGAGGAAGACGTGAGGCTCCATATTAACTGCTGGTCGCTAGCCCTAGGTAAGCATGTTACTTCTGGGCAACTTGTATGGCTCGCGCCTCTGGGCCATGTGGGATGGCCAGACATAGTCCGCAAACCAGATATTGAGGAAGATTCTTGGGGAATATCAGAGGTGGAATGAATGGTGGATCTGGCCCTGGCAGAGAAGTGTCAGTTGCACGAGAACTTGGTCACAATCGAGAATGAACCTCAACATGTGAAAATGCATGAGAGATTGGTAGGTGAAATGTATGTTCTGGTGAACTCTCTGTTGCATGATGAAGTTGCTAGAATTGATAGAGAAAGACAAAATGGAGAAGAGAATGTGGTCCACGAAGGAGAAGATAATGATGTCGAGCGCATCGGCCCCCTCCCGACTATGTCACGCAGGAGTAAAAACCAAACAAAATCAGAGACAACTTGGGAACGATGCATAATTAATCCCGCGAACCGCCGATACGGACGCGGTTGCATTGCCCCTTCGCCGCTCTAGCCGGGTGCGCCAACTGTACATCCCTCGGTCCCCTACGACAGGATAGGTTCTCGCGGGGCACATCTTACCTTCCCTAAGGGGTTGTCACTACCCTCAGGGGCGTATCCCTATCGAGCTACTGACCCACATGTGAAAGCTTTTACATGCAATTGCAGAGGTAGGTCAGTCGATGGCGTTTACTAGCTTGTTGGAGTATAGGTACGCTTGGTTAATGCCAAGTGGACCCGAACGTTGTCCGTTCCCTAGGGCGCTGATCTCCTAGGTACGAACGAACGTCGGTCGACTAGGACAGCCTCAACCAAACGTGAAACCCACAATATTATCCTAGTCGTTTTATAATTCTCTGACCACAAGATAAATAAATAAAATCAATACACTTTATATCCAATCACACAAGACTTGATTTTGACTTGATGAGATGATATGAGAATTATAAAAGGACTAGGATAATATTGTGGGTTTCACGTTTGGTTGAGACCGTCCTAGTCGACCGACGTTCGTTCGTACCTAGGAGATCAGCGCCTTAGGGAACGGACAACGTTTGGGTCCACTTGGCGTTAACCAAGCGTACCTATACTCTAGCGAGCGAGCAAACGCCCTCGGCTGATCTACCTCTGCAATTGCATGTAAAAACTTTCGCATGTGGGTCAGTAGCTCGGTAGGGATACGCCCATGAGGGTGGTGACAGCCCCTTAAGGAAGGTAAGATGTGCCCCGGGAGAACCTATCCTGTCGTAGGGGACCGTGGGATGTACAGTTGGCGCACCCGGCTAGAGCGGCAAAGGGGCAATGCAACCGCGTCCGTATCGGCGGTTCGCGGGATTAGTTATGCATCGTTCCCAAGTTGTCTCTGATTTTGTTTGGCTTTTTGTAACGAGCGTGAGGCTGAGGGTGAGCCGAGGGAGAGGAGAGAGAGGGAGAGAGTGAGAGCACACACACACACTCACTCACTCGACACGACGGACTCGGACTGAGGATCGGACGCAGACACAGTGGCAAGGCACAAAGTCGAAGTCTTGGATTCCGAATGCCGAAACAACAAGTCACACTGARTACGAGTACARCAGCAGAGAACTGGTAYGAGACTGCCCCCCGTACCGTACGCGGAGMCGGTATAAGTACCGGTGACACGTACGGTACCAGGGGCATTTCTGCAAAGGCCCCGAGGGCAGAACTGAAAAATGCAGTATTTGAAAGTGGCGCCCAAATTGCAGCATGGCGCCAGTTGTCCAAAACCCTATGGTACCAAAGGGGGGGTTTGGAAAAAGGGTGCCAGGCCGAGAACTGGATGCAACCAAAACAGCAAAAGATAGACCAGGGATCGAGCCCTGGCGAAGTCCGTAACACTATCCCCTCCCTCTAGAAGGCAACGTCCCGGCTGCCAAAAATCATGAAGCAATGCTGAAATCTGTGAAGGACGGGACGGGGCCGATCACTGGTTAACAAGTCGAAAGGGAAGAGGGGTATAATGTGGGTGGCATGGGTTGCGGGAGTAAGAGGGAACAGGGTTTGGTACCGGTGAACAGAGTTGTCCTACTGATGAACTAGGGGGGGTTGGAAGGAACAGGGTAGTCCTACAAATGAACTAAAGGAAAGATAGGGAGCAGGGTGGTCCTACTGATGAACTAAGGGGACTGCATGGTTCGCTATAGGTTAAGGGGGGAACAGAGTTCAGGGAACAGGGAACTTCTATTGATGTTCTACTGGGTAAGGGAAATGGTGTTCAGGAAAACAAGGTATTTCTATTGATGTTCTACTGGGTAAGGGAAACGGTGTTCAGRAAAACARGGTRTTTCTATTGATGTTCTAGTGGGTACGGGGGACAATGGTTAGGGAAACAGGGATCTGCTAATGATGTTCTACAGGGTTGTCAAAGTACAATGGTTAGGGAAACAGGGATCTGCTAATGATGTTCTACAGGGTTGTCAAAGTCAGGAAAAATAAAAATGAAAATGTTTGTTCAGGATGCGAAGGCTGGTGTGTCCGAAGGAGTCGGAAGCAGAATCTCATGTAGGAACAAAGTGTCCAAATGTCTTGAAAGGGGGTCTGCAGCGGTCTTCAGCAGCTGCGATAGGTAGAAGTCCAAGAAGCGTAGTAGTAGTTCAAGTGTCAAGGTCCAAGTGCTAGGGTGCGTTCGGTACACGAACTGCAATGAGGTCTGATCTGGGAAGCAAGGAAGTCGCAGACTGATGCAAAGATCCATGTCACAAGTTGCTGCTCCAATCAGTCCGCGAGTCGGGATGCCGGCCAATGAAAGAGCACGGTGGCCAAACCAGCTGCATAATCTCCATGAGCAGCAGGCCATCGTCCTCGTGCGCTTGCCATTAGATCCTTTATCGCCGATGTCACGCAAGTTCACAAGCATTGGACAAGAGAGACAAGGTAGTGGAGAGGACAGATGAGACAAGGCTAGGCGAGGGCAAGGGCAGATCAGACATCAGGAATGTGGATCAAGGGAAGGGTGGACTGGGTTCAAGGATGTGTGAAGAGCAGGGTTGCAAGGGTTTTTTTGCGGGGGTTTATGCCATAGTGATATATGTATCTAGGACGTAGGATTAGCACGATCATAGGCGCGGACAAGTGTCATGGCGTTCTTAAGATTAGAGAGAGGTTCCCATGTAGATTCTTCGTCGGGGTATCCGGTCCATTTGACTTTGTATTCAGTGATTGGTTCCGGATGATCAGATACATGAGTGGTTCGTCGGCCGATGATGGTTTCGACAACGAATTCAGGGTCTGTGGGTAGCATGATTGGTGGAGGTCTAGGATATGGGCAGTCGGCGAACTAGAGCGGGGATTCATGGTATTCTTTTAGGTACTCGACATGGAAGACTGGGTGGACACGACTCATGTCAGGGGGGAGTTGGAGTTTGTTGTTGACGGGGGAGGTTTGTTCAATGATGGGGAAGGGACCGAGCCACTTGTTCGAGAGTTTCTTGGACAAGCCTTGTTCGGGTTCAAAGCGTTTGGCAGAAAGCCAGACTTTGTCCCCTACTTTGAATGACACGTCACGTCTGTGTTTGTTAGTCTTGTTGGCTTGTTGTTCTTGTGTTCTTTCAAGGGCTTCGGTTGCTTTTCTGAGGAGTCTGTTCATTGTTCCTATCCATTCATTGAGAGAGGGGCAAGGGGTGGAGGGGCTGAGCTGTGAGGGAAGCAAGAAATCAGAGGGCAAGCGGGGATGGTAGCCAAGGTCGAGGTAGAAAGGGGACATGCCAGTGGAGGGGCATACAACATTGTTGTAGGCAATTTCGGCGGCTGTGAGCAACTGATCCCAATCGTGTTGGTGTGGATGACAATACTTTCGCAGGATTCTTTGGAGTGTATCGTTCATCTTCTCTGTTTGTCCATCGGTCTGTGGGTGGAATGCAGTGCTATACTTGAGCGTGGTTCCGTAGGCCATGAAGAGGTGTTTCCAGAATTGTGAGAGGAAACGAGGATCACGGTCACTGATGATGTTCTCGGGGAGGCCGTGATGGCGAGCAACATGGTTGAAGAAGAGTGTGGCGACGTCTTTGGCACTGTGCGAGGTCGTGCAAGGGATGAAGTGGGCACGTTTGGTCAAGCGGCAGACAATGACGTAGATGCAATCATGCCCACGGTCGGTCTTGGGGAGGCCGCACACGAAGTCCATGGAGATGGACTGCCACCGGTGAGTTGGGATGGGCAATGATTGGAGTTTGCCGGGTTTGGCCCGGTTCGAGGGGTTGACAGTTTGACACGTGGGGCACGAGCGAATGTATGCCTTAACGTCGGCGAGTAGGGAAGGCCAGTAGAAGTAGCGGGACATGGTGTCGAAGGTCTTCTGGAAACCGAGATGTCCTGCGGTCTTGGCGTCGTGGTGCTCGGCCAACAGCTGAGTACGGAGGCCTCGTGCGTCGGGGATGCAAAGTCGGCGAGTGCCTTTGGTATCGATGTAGAAGAGATTGTTGTGAAGGGAGTAGTCGGGAACTGAGTCAAGATCACGGAGTTTGTTGTAAATGGTGGCGAAGTCTGAGCAGGAGAGATAGCCTTAGGTGTATCGATGATGAAGCGATGGAAGGAGTTGAATATGAGTCATGGTGGCGTAGACTTTCTCGGGGGGCTTGTGGTCGGGTCATCGCGAGAGGGCATCRGCAACGCGGTTGCTTTTGYCGGGGGTATGGCAAATRRYGAATRTGAACTGGGCAAGGAAGTCTAGCCAGCGGGCTTGGCGTGGAGTGATATMTTTCTTGGAGAGGATGGAGGAGACGATGGTGTTGTCAGTGCGGATGGTGAAGTATTGCCCGTCGAGGTACGGGCGCCAGACTGTGAGGGCGTGAATCACGGCGAGGAGTTCCTTCTCGTTGGAGGGGTAATTCATCTCCGCGGGAAGGAGCTTCTTGCTTGCGAAGGCGGTAGGGTATTCGCCAGGTGGAGCCTCGGGGTGAGTGGGCGAGTCCTAGATGGGGGGGGTCTCGGCGGTGTCCCGGGGGAAATGTTGGGACAGTACGGCTCCGATGGCGAAGTCGGAGGCGTCAGTGGTGACATAGAAATGGCGAGTGGGGTCGACGATCTTGAGGACAGGGGCCGTGGTGATGGTTTGCTTGAGTAAGTCGAAAGCTTGTTGGCGGCGATCGTTCCAATGGAAAGGCTCGTCCTTGCGGGTGAGTTCGTGGAGAGGGTACGAGATCTCGGAAAAGTTGCGAATGAACGGGCGGTAATAATTGGCAAGGCCAAGGAAGGAACGGAGTTGGAGGAGGGTCTTGGGTGGGGGGTACTCGACGAGGGCTGTGACCTATGAGGGGTCCATACGGATGCCTTCAGCGGAGACAATATGGCCGAGGTATTCGACGCTCGAAGCGGCAAACGTACATTTGCTGAGCTTGGCGTAGAATTTTTGCTCTCGGAGGATCGCGAGGACTTGACGGAGATGCTGAAGGTGGGACTCGAAGGTGGGGCTGAAGACAAGGATGTCATCAAGGTAGATGACGACACTGACTTCGAGGAGGTTGCGGAAGATGTGGTTCATGGTGGATTGGAAGGTAGCGGGGGCATTGGTGAGTCCGAATGGCATCACGAGGAACTCGTAGTGCCCGAACCGAGAGCGGAAGGCGGTCTTGTGAGTGTCCTCCTCACGGATACGGATGTGGTGGAAGCCACTACGAAGGCCGATCTTGGTAAAGTACTTGGCTCCACGGAGACGATCAAGGAGCTCGGAAATCYGAGGTAGGGGGTACTTGTTCTTGATCGTGATCCGGTTCAAGGCATGGTAGTCTGTGCACATGCGGAGTTCCGAAGTTCCACCTTTCTTGACGAAAAGACAGCTGGTTCCGAAGGGGGATGAACTTGGCTTAATGAACCATTTTTCAAGGAGTTCATCGAGTTGCCGTTTCATTTCTTCGGCTTCGGGGACAGAGAGTTGGTATGGAGGGCGGCAAGGTGGAGAATGTCCGGGTTCCAAATCGATGGTATGCGATACGCCACGATCCRVMGGTAGTCYGRCGRGTAAGGACTCGGGAAAGACGTCCCTGAACTCGTCAAGGATTGAAGTGATGGCGGGGTTGGAGGACGGGGCTTGATCGGGTTTGTCCGTCGGGAGTAAGTCCTTGGGACTTTCGCGATCAAGGACAAGACAGTAGTAGGCGGAGTCGGGGTTTAGGCGAG